AGTAGCCATTGATAATATCTAAACAATATGTAGTAGTATAGTATATAGTATACAAATCAAAATGTAATTAAATTAATTTATGTGTGATTTATGTGTAAATTATGGTGTCTGAAAATAATTATATATATATATATATATATATATATATACATACTTTAATATAAAGTATAATTGGCTAGAAACGGCCCAGTTTGCAACTCAGTGTTCAAAAATTGCTGGGAAATCACTTCATGTAGCCCTACAAGAGTGATTACTGATAAACTGTCTGAAAAAGAAAGAAAGTTACGTTTTAGAGAAGAAAAAAATCACCCACTGACTTTCAAAGCTGCTACATAGTAACGACTTTCTACTTCGAGGATCTTGATAGAAATGTAGTGGAGTGAAAAGTACAATATTTGTCTTTCAAATGTAGTGAAGTTAAAGTCATAAGCTCCCAGAAAAAATAATACTCAAGTAAAGTACAGATACTCAAAAAGTGTACTTAAGTACAATACTCAAGTAAATGTACTTAGTTACTGTCCGCCTCTGCTCGCAAGTAATCACACATGCTCATCTCTCTCTCATTCGTTGTCTGTTTAGGCTTGTTAAGTGCAAATCTACTGAGCCTCAGTACAAATCAGCATGGTGCACATCATGTTATCATTACTAACTTATTTAATATTCAGTACACATGCACGAAGTGTAAAACGATAACGGCATAACCCTATGAAAAAAGAAAACACGCAAAAATCGCTGTGGTTCTTGCATTCCTCTGCGGTTTGCGGTTATCGCAACAGCCCTACCCAAATAATATTAATATATATATATATATATATATAGAAACATTTCAGTAGGCCAGGTATTCCATGCACACAGAAACCAGCACAAACAATACAAGCACCATCTAAAGTGCTCCTGTTTCCAGATTACAGCTGTCTTTGTATTAAGAAATCATAATACTCTCACTTGTTCACTTGAATTAGCAGGCACAATAAAATGGTTTGTCTGCTACAGAATACTGAATCATTAAAGTGGAGTTAATAGTGCCTGTCGGCCAGAGTGTTCTGTGATGTACGATTTATGTGCAGTACCTGCTGCATGTGACCCAGAACATTCTTCCTGCAGTCAAACACTCCCTTGCCCTCCTCGGAGTAGAGCTGATAGATGAAGTCTGTTTTTATTACTAAGTATCTTTGAGTCATTCCCAGGAAACTGTGACATGTGCTATGTGTGTGTTCTCATGTACTACTGCTATAATTAAATCAGTCACAAGATTTGATATATTTTAGTCTTTTTATGATGTAAAATATATTGTGTAATAAAAAAAATATTTTTACTGTTTGTTTTTAATTAGAATATCAACCATGAATTGCATGTCCTATATTCGCCATTAAAATTAAAATGTTATAAATATATAGATATAGAATAAGTGATTTACAGACAAATATTATTTAGGTATAATATTTTATATTGTTAAGATTATTATTTAAGATATATCATTTTGTATTATATATTTATTGTTTTATTTGTTCATAAAAATGGGAATTATACCTAAATGTAACTTGCATTACAATGCAAAAACAAAATAATGTTTTTTGTTTTTTTTACAACGACCTTTTGCTGTGATAATTTCCCTTTAAAAATTGGTTTGGCATCACATTTAAGTGAATAACATTAGAATTTTAAGTAACTAGGTGGTTCAAACAGAGATAGGTTTATCTATATTTCAATGTGTTATTAATATTAATATTTTCCCCATAACAGAGTTGAAATATGGAGCTTGACAAGGCCAAAAGAACATTGAAATAATTATAAAAATGATAAGATTACATATTCTTTATTTTACATTATGTGTATAATAATAATTTGTGCATAATTATAATTTGAAAAAAAAAAACAGGTTATGTGGCAAGCCACACAATATTACGGGGTTAAAATGGCAAAAGTTTTAATAAAAATGTTAGCTTGCAAATACCCCATTATTTTATGTGCTTAATATTAGTATTCTTGTCCATAACAGAGTTGAACTCTTAAGACTGACCAAAAGAACATTGAAATACCACTAAAGATTATGCAATTATATAATCCTTATTTTACCTTGTAAATGTTTTATAGCTTTTATTTTTTTTATATAAATATAATTGGAATATAATTTAATATATTCGATTAATATGATTTTAAAAGAATGTGCCAAGCCTATTAGATTCACAATTTGACAAGCTGAAATTGCAAAATGTCCAATGATGATGTTCGCAAATATCACATTTACAGTCAGTATTCTAGTTCTTTATGCTTAATATTAATATCTTTCCCCATAACAGAGTTGAACTTCCGTCTGTCTGACAGCCCCAAAGTATGTATTAAAGCACAGGATACTGACTATACATAATGTGCTATCTGCAAGCTAACACTTTTATTAAACATTTTGCCATTTCAACCCCGTAACATTCAGAGCCAAAATGTGAATGTAACAGGCTCGGCACAAATTCAAATTACAATTATAGAATTTCAAGTAATGTGTCTGGGTAGAAATAATGCTGTTTCCTAAGAATGACTCCTTTGCAGACAGAAAGGAGGTTTATCGTCTTACCTCCACAATGGCATTGAGGGCCGTATCTGCCCCGATACTAAGGTTAGTGCCCGGCACATTGTTACTAATGGTTGCAGGCAGCATACAGAGCGGGATGCAAAACTCCTCATAGCTGGACCGAGCCTCACACAGCTGCAGCAGACACTCTAAGGCCTTTGGCAGGTCAGCACAACACAGCAGGGGACCACAGGGGACAGCACAATGCACACATTAGACCAGCAGGGGGAGTACTGGTGCAGGAGCGGACCCTGCTGATGGGACACCCACCGTGTGATGGCCAGCATGGCTTCTGATTGCGAGTCGGGGGGGAGAGGAAGGGGGTACGGATGGGGTCGGATTGACTTTCGCAGTCACGCGCATACAGGGTTGTCACGTGGCAAAACACTGAAGCGAAACGGCAGAGATTCTGCACACTTGTAACAGACACAGAGGCAGCAAGATGACTCAGTCCACACATTAACACTGTGTATTGTAGTAGTGTACTGTAACCGACAGTGATGATGCCATTGGAACATAAGCATTCTGAATTCCGACTGGTTTTGCATACTATTTGCTTCCTAAATTGAGATTGCGATTTGTATTTAAATGTGTCAGTTAATCCAAATTCTGTCAGTATTTACCCTCATGTCATTACCACTGTTGTTTTTTTCCATGAAAAATAAATCTTTTCCAGAATTATATATTAATAACGCACTATATTTGAAACCTTCTGAACTCACACAGTAGCTTTAAGTGAGGTTTTTTTGCTGAAAATCTTCAAACATGGTATGACGTCTATAGCTACATTCCCATCTACTATTTGTGCTATTCTATTTTCGACAAATTTATTTTTTTCCTGTTTCCATCCAATTGGCCTTTTTCCAGTAAAATAGCGTGTGTGATGTTATCCCTTAAATAAAATAAATAATAATAATTGTTGCATTAGTTTTATCGCAAAAGTCTTCCCTTTAGCTGTTTACATAATTACAAGTGTATCACAAATTATTTTATCTTTTACATCCCAAATCTTTGCAAAATGAAGAGAGCAATGAGAGCAATTGGCATTTTACTGCTTACTAATTTCACAATACTTGTACATTTTTAAATAAGGAAATATAAAAAAAAAATAAAAAATGAACCTCAAATTAAGGCATGCAATCAATAATAATAAAAAAAATAGAAAAAAAAAAAAAAAAACCCCAAATTAAGGGAAGAAAAAAAAAAAAAAAAAAAAAAAAAAAAAAAAAAAAAAAAAAAAGAAATACATGAATTTTGAGAGGTAACATTCTTACAAATAGTAATAATATAATATAATTTTATATACAATTTAATAATATTAATAGAATAGATTTCACACACATTTAAACACTGCAGAAAAACAGTGCTTTAATGGGAGCAGCATTACACTTATTTATGTTAATGGTATTTTTCTCAACAAAATGTGTTTCCAAACTAGTTTTTGCAACATTTTAAGTACTGACATAGAATTTATGCACAAAAGTTAAATGGGTCAACATTTGAGAAATTGTATTGATAAATGGCATTTCCAAAAAACCTTGAATGGAAACCTGGCTACTGCCGCTTTATGCATAAATGTTTATAAGCAGGGGTGCACATACTGTAAGTGGTCCGCAGGTGCGCATGCGCGACCAAAATAAGAAATGCGCTGTGTAAATGAGTTCAGACCGCGCGTTTGCGTACCGACATGGTTGACAGCTGTTAATGCAAGATTACCATTTTAGATCGACAAACTGTACTGTATAATATTTCTATTCAAACTGAAAGCATAAATCTAAGCTACCCGCTAACGGTTAGCACAATGCAAAACTGTGAGATTTCATTCACCGTCGCTCTACAATCAGGGTTGCCAGGTTTTCGCAACAAAACCCACCCAATTGCTACTCAAAACTAGTCCAAAACTAGCCCAATCGCATTTCCAGGGGGGTTCCCCGGTAAAAATCGAATTCCGGGGGGTAAAATACACATTTTTCGGCAGGGATCCTCCAGTAAAATTCGCATTCCAGGGGCTAAATATCACGTTATTGGGGTCGCTTCAACCCGCGGACATGGAAAAACCCACCGCGGCAACAGTGTTAAAGTAGCCAAATTCCGCGGGAAAACTGTCTACAATCGGCAGTTTGAAAATTTTAAATTAAAAGAATTTAAATTAAAATAATAATAATACAAATATTAGCATTTTATTTTTAAATTTACTATAAAATAATTGTATTTGTATTTAATACTCCATTTTTATTTTTAAATAAAATAGTATTATCACTTTATTATTTCGTTTATTATTTTATTTAAAAAAAATCTAAATAAAGTGCAAAAATATTATCACTATTATTAATTTATTTTTTATAGTTATATTTGATGGGTCACACCATGTCTCGTGTGAGGACCAAACCAAATCTCCAGGTTCTCATATGAGAACCAGGCTGAAAAACGTATGTGCACCCCTGTTTATAAGAGAATGATATTTGGGAGGGAAGGAAGGGAAGATTTCAGTTTTGGTGTTATGTTACGGAGTATTTTTCAAGCTTGATATCCCTAGTCTCCATTCATATTTTTTAAACATCTAATATATCTTTATTACGCTGTATCTGAGTTCAACAAAACGTTGAATTTGTAAGGACATGAGGGTTTTAGGTGAACTATGTTATATACTGTATATATGAAAAACTGGCAGTAGCCTGTGCTTTAGTAAGGCTTGTGTTGGTTTAAACCATGGATGTAAAGAAACTATGCAGACAGACTCCAGTTCTCCAGCGTTAGCCGGGGTCAGCGATCTGTTATGACGTGTTAATGCAGAGTGATCACAGCACAGCACAGGCTCAGTCACATGACAGCCACAACAAAAAGCACAGCTCAAAACATGCCGCCATTATGTCATCTCCACTTACCTGTCAGCCAACGGCTCACCTTTGCATTTACCAGCCGAAACATTAACGCTTAATGTAGAAATATCAGGCTAAATCTCACAAAACTACCAAGAACATGTCCAGGTCATATTTCACCAGCAAATCAATAAGGAATAATATTTTGCTTAAAGAAAATGAAGCTGAATTTGGCCCGGACATATCTTAATAAAATGCATCTTAAACCTGTCTACTAAAATGCCTAAAATGTTGTTGGTTGTTGAAGGCAACATACAATATGTGTATCCTTTGTTCATACATTTTTTTTTTTACTTTTGACTATGATGAATGAGCATTGCAGTTGCAATTTGTTTTGTTTTGTTTTGCTTAAAGCTCATTTGAATTTGTTTAGCTCATTAGGCATTATATTATGGTGACTTGGATGCCTATCTATAACGTCAGGTTGACATTGGACAGACGTTACACTTTGGTTGAGAACGAAAATCGGGTTGACGTCAGTATTTGACGGCAATTTGAAAAAATAATCAACGGCAAAAAATATCAACGGAAGCTGACGTCGCCATTGGACATCAAATTAGCATTGACATTAGATGTTGAATTGGCATTGAATTTTGGTCACCTGCCATCGCAACCGAAATTTTACCAAATATCAATGTCTTATGACGTTGCGTGCCTGCTGGGAAAAAGATTCGGTCACATTAGTGAACTTTTGGTGAAATTTTGCAGCCAAAGAAAGATCCATAGTCTTTTGCCAATAGTGTAGCGATTTATGAAGAACAGTTCACGCAGCGTAATATAGTTTAAACTACATTTTCATTTAATTGCAATTAACCTGCAATTAAACCTAAAGCCTTACATTCAGTTTTCACTTTTAAATTAAGCATATTCTTTTGAATTATTGTACTCTTTTTAAATTTATGCTCAAGTGTATTTTGTCACAAGGGTCTATACTTAAAAATACTTATTCTTTAAAGGTAATGTTATTTTGCTGTCTTTGTCAAAAGTACCCTATATAATGACTTACAGTAATTGTTTTTTAATGTAGTTTTTCAAATAGAAATCCACATGGTTTAAATGTGATTACCACTCATGTGCTTTCTAAATTCATTGGCTTATTGGATTAGACTGGCTAAAGAGATCATAATGGAGAACTCCGCTATAATGAGACTCTTTTAGCCAAAAATAACTCAATAAGTCTATCAATGCATCAGAGCCAGAGAGAAAGTAAGAATTCAAAAACATTATTTTAAAAATATATATATTTTGAAGCTATTGATAAAAACACATATGGATTTGATGGGGCATTGCTTTCTCTAACCGAGCTTGTAATCCTCCCTGAGTTTGTTCAACAAGATAATTAGTGGATCATGTCTTAATCTAAGGGCCAAGCCCATGTAATGTAATTAATTGCTCAGTGTTTATCTTGATTCCTCGGAAAGCTCTTAGCATACGGCTAATAGATTTTTCACATCGCCCCTATCAGCCCCGAGTGGTACTGCAGTGGCAAATTAGTTTGTTAATCCTGTCATGTTCTGCGTCAGAGCAGCAGAGCAGGGATAGAGGCGATGCCACAGCCTGTGCCATTTTCAACACCTACTTGAGCTAAACGTGTTAATTTGCTGAGTACTTCCTGCTCTTAATGCAATTACTAAAGCAATACAATTAGCACAACTGGATGTGAGCGTGCATTTAAAAAATTCAGTATGTAACTGCTGTAACCTAGATGCTGCTGCTAGTAATGCCACACAAAATAACGTTTGTATATGTGGCCTGTAAAAACAATGCCTTGAACTTAATGTAAATTTGGGGTAAATGCACATTTTTTTTATTTGCCGTCCAAGCATGGCACAATTTCGCTCATATGTGAAGCACATTTGCAGTTCTTGAATGTCTCCCATATAAGCCACTGAGTTTAAAACCTGCTGGACGGTTATTAATATAGGAATGTAGAAATAAATATTTACCTGTCCCTTACGGAATCCTTCAAATCCGTCGCTGACAGCGAACATTTTGTGTCCCTCGGAGATGCCCACTCTGACAGCAGAGCGCACGGCTGCGTTCATGCCGGCGGCGGGGGCGCCCACGTTCAACACAGCCACGTTAAAATTGCTCTGAATGAGGGATGAAGACATAACATGTCAATAATTTACATTAAATCCACTTCTCCTAATACAGCAGAGCGTTGGCTAGCATGAGCCTTCAGCTATATTACTGACTTATGTTTGGTTGTCTATAATAAAAAATAAAAAAAGCAAGTGTCCTCGTGGATTACTGTAAATCTTGCTGGATATATGCAGCCTGACAAAGCAAATAAAAAATGGCCATATTCATTTATATAACCAGTTGGTATGTCTATATATTTGAGGCCTGGTATTTCTTGATCATCATCATGTTTTTGTGTTGACCACTCAATGCCTATTAAGAGTTGAACAATGTTTCCAACCAGCTGTGGCTGGTTCATCAATCTGTTTTCCATTCCCATCGGTGCAGGGTAATGTGGTCTTTCGTTTACTCGACACACAGCCCAGAGCATCATAGAATGATTATTGACTAAACACTTCTGGACAAGCGGCTGTTTGACTTTGGTGACTGTGATGCAGCAGGTGTGCCATTCAAGACTCTTGTTTTCTGGTCTAAACAAGGCTTTTAGAAAAGCAGCATACTATGCATCAGTGGTTCGCAAACTTGGGGGCCGGGACTCATTGGGGGCCTCAGCAAGCTGCCCAAAGGGGGCCCAAAGATAGCTTAGAATTATTTAAAATAGGACAAATCTACTTTAAAATAAGCTTAAATAGCTAATAATAATAATATGTTAGCTGTAATTATTTGAGAATCAGGGTTCTCATGGTCTTGGAAACACTGGATATAGGAGAATTTTATAAACCTGTAAAATAAAGTAAAATAAAATAAAATATTTAATAGGGAGAGATTTCTATTTGCATGATCATGAATGACTAGTCATGTAAATTCATTGGAAACTGTGAGTTATAGAACTGATAAAGTCATGGAAATAAGAAAATCTTAAAAAGTTTTAAGAAATAATTATAAAAAAATAATAAATAATAATAAAAACGCTCAATACAAATATTTTTTTTCCAATTTTGTCAAGCTCTAAAATATATTATAGGGTAGAAATCGCTGGGAAACTGCTATGTGCAAAACATAATCATGAATGATTAGTCATGTAAATTCATAAAAATAATTCATGGTAATAAAAAGTGTAAACCCTGAAAAACAATTAGTTATTGAAGCTTCAGGAATGCAGTTTAATCATTTATAATTATCTAATTTAATTATTCTATATTCTACATAGATGACTGAGAGAATCTAAGCTGCAGAAGCTGTTTGTATTCACCACAAAAACACTATTGTATTGACATCGCAAACATACATTTTTTACCACATGGCCTGTGTTCACACGTCAATGTCTGTTATTTAGCAACTGATGTGAAGTGGTGTGGAGGGTAACCAATCATAAAAGAGGTCATTTGCATACATATGCATTAAATGTTCAATAGTAAAAACAGCCTGTTGGTGGATAATTGTTTACTAGAAACTTATAGTGTTGCTTCCTGGTGTTAGTTATGAAGCTTTAAAGCAAGCTAACACAACTAAAGGCCCTTTAAGGATTCTTTGACATTTAGATGATAATAATAATAGCTAGAGAATAGAGCTAAAACTAACTATCCACAAGCAGAAATATTCCCACAGGATGTATGGCAGGACTAATTAATCTTGGTTTCCTCTGGAAGCATCTGCTAGCGGTGGAATTCTGTCTTGCAGCATGCAGTAAGGGCTTGTGAATAGCTAAGTCTGGTCCAACAGTTGATGTCAGTCAATTGAGGTGTTTAGTGAAAGATCACCAGGGTAAAACAAACACAGCATCCCTCTCAGGATCTGACACTCACGTGTGGAAGCTCGGACTCTGGTTTGCGGTGAGCCAGCAGTTTGTAAGTCTTCAGATTGTTCTCAAAGCTCCTGCATGTACACACAATCATATAAGTGTTATTCTTATATTTAATGAGACAGAAGTGTTATATTTGTAGTTATGCTCAAACTAAATAGCTAACTAAATTAGCGTCTAAAAGTTTGCGTTCATAAGATTATTTCTGTCAGGACCACTATCATCAAAGATGATTGACAATTAGCATACAGTTTGGATTGGCAGTATGGTTCTGTTCTGGGCAAGAACTCCCTGCGCATCCATGCAGCCTAGCATGGATGAGAGCAGGGAGATCAGAACAGAACCAACATAAATGTATTGCAGATATCATTAAAGTTCAATAATGTTATGTACACATTTTAGAATTAGTCTGATTCAAAGGAGAATAAGAAGGCTGAATCCTGACTGAAAGAGGAGGAGCTGGGGATGGAGGAGGGTAATTAGCTATTGAGCAGTGTGAAAACTGCTGATACTACTATGGGACCTTATATATGAATACTTAAGTGTCGTATTCCCATAGGTTGATGGGGATCAGCTGAGAGTCAGCTGATGCGAGCTTGACTAACGTGACCTGCCAGAACTAACGCTACGCTAAATTTTTTTATAAGAATACATTAAATTGATCAAAAATGACAGTAAAGACTACAAAAAGTCATTAGTGATGCTTCCATGCAAAGATTCAAATTAAACGTATGCGCATAACTGGAATATCGCATAAATCATTTGCGAATAAAGCACCGTTTCCATCCAACGAGTGAAAGAGAACAAAATCGTCACTTCCTGGTCACTAAGAAAAGTAGGAGAAGCCACTGAATATAATAATTTTCATATGTAATGAATGACTTGCGCTTCAGCGAGAGCAGACGTAACACAATAAATGCGGTCATTGCTTTTAGAGGTGGATGCTGCAGTTTGGGAACGCAGTCATGTAAGACAGTAATTATACAGAAGTACTTTGACGACAGACTTTGCTCAGGCATTTCAGAATGACCAAAACAACATTTCAGATGCTGTGAATGAGATCTGTCCCGCTGCTAATCAAGTTATCCCGTCTCATAGCGCAAAGTCACATGACTTTTTCGATGCGCATGGAGGAATTGATTCTGTAAATGTGTTTCCATCGTAGTTTATGTGCATTTTTTTCTTATCAGATAAAAAGTTTATTCTACTCAAATGTGCGCATACGTTTTTTATGTGCATTATTAGAATTTCTGTGCATCTGGGCATTTTTTTTAAATGCGATATTCCAAAATGCGCATTAAAATAGGTGGATGGAAACATAGCTATTGTTACAAATATAATAAGAAATTTTCTTGCGCAGCAAATCAGGATATTAGAATGATTTCTGGAGGATCATGTGACACTGAAGACTGGAGTAATGATGCTGCAAATTCAGCTTTGATCACAGGAATAAATTACATTTTAAAATATATTCAAATAGAAAACAGCTATTTTAAATTTTACTGCAATATTACTGTTTTTACTGTATTTTTTTAAATCAAATTCAGCCTTGGTGAGCAAAGGAGACTTCTTTCAAAAACATAAAAAAACAGTAGTGTACAAGCTACTCACAATCGGAAAAAGCTAGTCAAACGACAAAAAATAATTAGCCACACCACAAGTTACAAACAAAACATACGAAACACACCTGCCACGTAGCCTCACGGCCTCTTCAAATCTTTTCTCATCCATGGCCTTCTGCACCTCCTGAGTCTACAAGACAGACAAAAGCACTTCCATTATACTGTAAATGTTATGATACATGATTTTGTGGGTGTTGAACTGACTTATTAGAAACAGTATCGGGATCATAATCCAATTCAACATTGAAAAAAAATATATATTTTGCCAAGTTAATTTTTGGATGAACAAGCACATTTTTGGTAATGTGTAAAAAAAAATTATCTAATTTTTATTACTGTAATGAAGTAATGTGAATCATTTTGTACAGACACCGTTTTTATTTAACTAAATGTAATTAGATATTAAACTTAAATAAATTCATAGGAATGCAAATGTTACAAACAAAACATACGAAACACACCTGCCACGTAGCCTCACGGCCTCTTCAAATCTTTTCTCATCCATGGCCTTCTGCACCTCCTGAGTCTACAAGACAGACAAAAGCACTTCCATTATACTGTAAATGTTATGATACATGATTTTGTGGGTGTTGAACTGACTTATTAGAAACAGTATCGGGATCATAATCCAATTCAACATTGAAAAAAAAAAATATTTTGCCAAGTTAATTTTTGGATGAACAAGCACATTTTTGGTAATGTGTAAAAAAAAATTATCTAATTTTTATTACTGTAATGAAGTAATTTGAATCATTTTGTACAGACACTGTTTTTATTTAACTAAATGTAATTAGATATTAAACTTAAATAAATTCATAGGAATGCAAATGCCGGAATGATTCATGAGTGCAGCAGTAATGCTGTGTTCTCATTCCTCTGCTGAACTGCATGAGTGAGGATCTTGATTATCACAGCAATAAACCCGACGTGGCATCTGTCCAAGTCTTACCATCTGCACACACTCCATGAGGGGCAGCCGCACAGACTGGTTCCCACACAGAGACACCACGCAGGCTGCCGTGTTTGCAGTGGTCTCAAGCAGCGCCAGAACCGCCTCCACACCCATACGACTGGCCTGACAACAAACACAAAACAGCACTGCAATCTGTAGTGCACTTAGTCACTTCATGTATAGAATTAGTTTTTATTCCATGTAAACAGAAAATGTCATTTTAAATCCTCTTTGGAATTACATACTTAACTTTCCCCCCCCTGCACTAAGAACTCCTACATGTTGTGTTCAGTAAATATATTTAATCTGAAGTATTGCTTGTGTGTTATGTTTAAGCAGATTGTATGACCAATGTATGCATGTTGAATCCAAGGGTCCAGCTACTGTTAGTGTTGTTTGTGATCGACAGCATGCCAGAGAAGATGTCCATAAACATAATGTTGAACATATAATAAAAATTCCCCCAGAAGACCACTTAGGAAAAATGCTTAAGTCCTTCTGTTCCTGCATTATTATTATATATATTTTTTTCCTTTTTTCATTTCCCCAGAGTGCACTTGAGCCTTTATTTTGTACTTCATCATTGTGGAAACAGCAGAGCACGTGCAGTGTGCGGACATCAAATCTGTTTATGTACTTAATGTAAGCTGCCCAACCCTCCTGTTTTTATCTCCAAGAGTTTCTCACCAGAATCCTGTCAAATGCCGAGGGTGTCCCTCCTCTCTGAACATGGCCCAGGATGGTCACGCGTGTGTCGAAGCCCAGACGCTGAACCACCAGCTGGAGGGGTAATAAAGAAGATTTAGAGTTGAATCAAGGGAATTTGGAGGTTTTAGGTCATATTTTGTCAAAAAAATTAAATAAAAAATATTGTCCATCATGCAATATATAATAAAAAGTCATAAAAAATAATATCCTTTTTTTTTTTTTTATTGTAAGTAAGAATTATCACCATAATCATACTGTTCATTAACCATACAGTAAACAACATGTTAATAATTAGGTTAACCCCAAACTGAAAATTGTGTTGTCATTTACTCATTCCCTTTCGAAACCTATGACTTGGAACACAAAAAGAGTTGTTTATATGTCCACGCTGCTTAAATTTTGGTCTGTTTCTAACACAAAGCTATTGTATCATTTGGGCTATACTGCACAAGTTGTATGGTTCACTTTTGCAATACTTTTATAGATGTTTTTTTTTTCTCCCTATTTCTTAGAGTTAGCCCCATGGTCACTTTTAATGTATTGAAGAGGACAGTGTTAGAATTCTACAAAATATACCCTTTTGTGTCCCATCGAAAAAAGAAAGTCATACGAGTTTGTAATGACAACAGTCACAGTAAATAATGCCAGAATTTTCATTTCTGGGTGAAGTATTCCTTCATATATAATACTAAATTGAAATGTTGTACAGTATTAGGTTATTTAATGATAAACTTTTGTACAAGCAAAAAAAAAAGAGGAATATCTTATAAGAATGCATGCATTTAGCATAAAGATTCAAAAGAAAGCTGCAATGCACATGCAGAGAATAAGAAATTGAGCATTAATTGGTGAAATCAGAACAGCGTTCCATGCTACTCACTAAATTAGTCAATTTTTAGTAGTTAGCATTCAGAGACTGTGCTAAACATTGTAATAGGTTCAGCTCCTGCAAGACCTTTTTCAGATTGAGGAAATGTACTCCCACGCACACTAAATAATCATAAATGTTTCCATTTCCATAACTAAATCTATTTGAAGAGGACAGTGTTAGAATTCTACAAAATATACCCTTTTGTGTCCCATCGAAAAAAGAAAGTCATACGAGTTTGTAATGACAACAGTCACAGTAAATAATGCCAGAATTTTCATTTCTGGGTGAAGTATTCCTTCATATATAATACTAAATTGAAATGTTGTACAGTATTAGGTTATTTAATGATAAACTTTTGTACAAGCAAAAAAAAAAGAGGAATATCTTATAAGAATGCATGCATTTAGCATAAAGATTCAAAAGAAAGCTGCAATGCACATGCAGAGAATAAGAAATTGAGCATTAATTGGTGAAATCAGAACAGCGTTCCATGCTACTCACTAAATTTTTAGTAGTTAGCATTCAGAGACTGTGCTAAACATTGTAATAGGTTCAGCTCCTGCAAGACCTTTTTCAGATTGAGGAAATGTACTCCCACGCACACTAAATAATCATAAATGTTTCCATTTCCATAACTAAATCTAGATTTTTACATTAATGTAAGTGGTGCTTGCCTGTGTAACACATACCACCATGATGCTGGTATTAACTTGCAAATTTTCCCCACAATTTACACTTTTTTCTATGATATTTTGTGCCTGGATAAGGCTGGGGCCTCACATATGTACAGTACATGTAGCCTATTTCTCTATGATGTTCTAATAAGTTGATTTGTCTAAGTGTCCGTCTGAGGTATCATTCATGTCAGTACCACAAAATAGTGACAAGATATGGAATTAAGTTTACATTTTAGAGTTAGGGTTTCTGAAAATTAAAGTATGAGCAATGCTAATAGTGATGCTTACCTAATTTTTCTTGTAACAGAAAGTATTCTGAAAGAACACATAAGACTGAACTGTAAAGCACTGGAAGATGTGCATGCTCCTGCTTAAGGTAGCATTCAAAACATACAGTAAGTAGAGGATAGCTGTAGCTGGTTATGTTCAGAGGTGACCACAAGTGCCTTACCAGAAAGAGTTGTGTGTGTGTTTAAGCAAACCACACAGGACAAAGCCAGAGAGGGCGGACATACAGAGCTCACAGAGGTCAGGGGTCAATGCATGAGCTGGATCTCTATGCACCTCATGTACTTACATTCTTTACATGGTCTGAGGTAATGGCCTTGTTGTTACGATCAATCGCACCTTCAGCTACTATTATGATATTCAGCCTTTTCATTCCTGCCCGTTTCTAAGAGGGTAAGAGACACGTCACAAACCGAAGACAAAACAGCGGGAGAGATTCAAAAAGCTGGAATTCAGGCTGCAGAAGTGGCTCCGTACTGAAACACCAATCCTACTGAAGCAACTTGTGAGCAAAGTTACCCATCCGGATATTTAACCACAACACCATACGACCGAGTTACGGTGCATTCTCAGCAATTCAATTGTTTGCCAAGTTTATGTGCTGCTGGTCAAGGTCTTAAAGTAACTATACTGTTGGTCACCAAGCTGCTGTACTACTGGTTGAGATCGCCAAGTTGCTGTCCATAAACTCTTCGGTCAGTGTTGCCAAAGTGCTGTACTGTTGGTAAATTGAACAAGTCACTATATTGTTGTTCAGTGTCCTCAAATGGCTACTGATAATCAAGGTATTTATAAGTCTGAGAGATGTGTCTGAAAAATTACTGTACTGTTGACCATGGTCCTATAAGTTGCTGTAATGTTGGTCAACATCTCCAAGTCACTCTCTGTATACAGGTGGTCAGCAAGTTGCTGTACTGTTGATCATGTTCACCAAGTCACAATAGTTTTCGTCAAGGGTTCCACGATGTTGTATTGTTGGTCGTGATCTCCAGGTCACTGTCCATATACTGTTGGTCAATGTCACCAAGTTGCTATAATGTTGGTCAGTGTCTACAAGTCACTATATTGTTGTTTGATGTCCTCAAGTGGCTTTGCTGATGATTAAGGTCTTAAGTCACTATATTGTTGGTCAACTCAAAAACAATATTGTTAGTAACCAAGTCACTACAACTTTTGGTCAAGGTTGCCAAGTTGCTATTATACTCCAAGTCGCTCTTCATATACTGCCAGTTAAGGTTTACAACTTACTATACCGTTTTTCAAGGTTGCCAAATTGCTGTACTGTTGGCCAGTGTCTACAAGTTGCTCCTACGTGTTGTTCCATGTCCCCAAGTAGCTGTACTGTTGTTTATAGTCACCAAGTTGCTTTACTTTTGGTTAAGTTGCCAAGTTGTTGCACTGTCTACTAAATCGCAGTTCGTATATACAGTTACTGTAATTTCAATTCACTATAACTATTTTCAAATTTTCCAAGTCAATGTACATACGGTCAAGGCCAGCAAGACTCTGTACTACTGGTTGCTATTGAACTGCTGTATCCAATTCCCGTTGAAAAAGAATGACTTATCAAGTTATCAATGCAAATTGCTGTCAGTGTGAAAACCCTTGTACATCTTATGGCATGTAGTAGAATCTGTAGAATGTTTTTGCAGCAAGTCTTTGAGTCTCTTTGGAGTCTTATTGGCGGTGGGCCACTCCAGTTATGGACCATTCCAGATTTTTGCTCTCTCCCTTTGAAAACATTCAGTACTCACATCCTTGACTATACTAGAAGTAATAGCTTTTCCATGTCTGTCAATGGCTCCTTCAGCGACTATGATTATGTTCAACCTTGAACCTCTGGATCGCGTCTGGGGCAGTGAACACATTTGTTTCACAAAAAACACAAGCATGTTACAGAAGAGTATGTACCAATAAACACTACATTCTGGGACTAGTGGAAAATGATTTTTTGTATGCAGATGTGGATAAATGGGGTAAATACGTAACCTGTAAATGTGTATGTACAGTACAGCCAATGTTGAAGAGTAGTGATGCTGCTAACTTGACTTGTATTTTAGTAGTGCGGCTGTTTCGCATACAAATTTTTACAACTGATAAATCCATCATAAATATCACACACTTCTAGAATGTCTCTAACAAGTTGTGATGGAAAGCTACAGTATACATTTCAGTGAATAGATTCTTCTACTTCATAAAAAGTGAAGCTTATCTGTAGTTAATCCAGTTGACATCATAGCGTGCAGCTTGTCGGAGTTGCTTCCCTAACACTGTGCACAACCACAAGCTTACAATTTTCCAGGTGAAAAACTTGTGAGAATAAACTGAATGTAATACAAGTGTGACCACCTGACTAACATGAGAAGTTGATCAAGCGTGCTGCATGTAGTTTAGTGAGAAGTGATGTATTTTTGTTTTACCGCAGAGAGTTTTTGACACATTTTCTCTTCCCAGCCATCCTCAGGGGGCATTTCAGGAATCAACACCCAGTCGGCTCCACATGCCAGGGCACTCACCAATGCCAGATAGCTTTATACACAAGCGCATACAGATATATAGAGTACAGTGTCTTATTTAACAGTATGCAGCACACAAACACCATGCCAATCATATATTTTGAACAAATCCAGGCCAAAATAGTTGGTGATAATGTGTAAGAATCTTACCCACAATGCCTGCCCATCACCTCCAGCACGAATGTCCTCTGGTGACTGTAGAATTATTAGCCAATAAATAGGAATTTCTTTTTCACAAGAAACTTCTGGTGCTTTTAGATAAAGTCATTTTAGATTCATGTAACCTTTAAATTATTCTTTGTTATGGATTGTTGAAGTACCTCTGAGCTGTAGTCATGATCGCATCCACCACCTCGATGATTCTGTGGAGGGCTGAGTCTGTTCCTATTGTCATGTCGGTGCCACAGAAGTCATTGTCGATAGAGCCCACCATGCCCACAATGTGAAGAGCAGAGTATTTCTGAGCTGCCTCCTCATCGATCAGACCTGCGATTTAAAAACAGCAACAAAAAAGCCTATTAGATCAGATCCTGGCCAAACTTTTTTTTTCTGTGTTTGATCTTTATTTTTGGCTAATTTAAGCCTAATTGAAATCATAGAAAATTCATGACCAATACCTTCAAAATTCTGATCAATTCAAGTAAATGTTTTAAACGGCTAAATTGCTTTGCATGTAAATTTGTGCATAAAATAACCCTCAATACATTTTATTTCTATTGTGTCATCTGCAGCTCATACCTTGCTGGACCAGCTCTGCCAGCAGCCCGCTCCACTCCTCTCTGAAGAGATTGGCCCCGGTCAAGCTGCCGTCTCCACCAATCACACACAGGTTAGTGATGCCCCTCTGCACCAGGTTATGAGCCGCCTTCAGACGACCTTCGTGCGTGCGGAAATCTTTGCATCGTGCGCTGCCGATAACAGTGCCTCCCTGAAACACAAGCATACAAAATTGTAACCACCGCAAGTATGAGATGGAAAAGCTATTGATCTTGCGACACTAGCAGCATTGGTATGTTCGAGTGCTTTGAGGGGCTATTTGCTTCTCATCACACTCACCATTTGCAGCATGCTGGACACACTCTCCCATGTCGCCTCCTTGATGTTGTCGCCTCCATCCACCATACCCTGATATCCCTGTACAACACACAAACATTAGGGTTGTGACGGTGAGGAAATCTTCCCACCGGTTAATCGACGTTTGACAACACCGGTAATACCGGTATCACCGTGGGGGCGGGGGCGTTCTCTCTTTTCCTCGCTTTCCTTCGCTTTTAAATAGCTTGTAAAAGCGGCATATGCATTTTACTTTCACTTTCAAATCGTGGCAATTCGGCGTAAAGCAATTGTTCGTTTTTAGTTAGTTTGAATTTTCCCTCTTTTCCTTGCTTTCCTTCTCTTTTAAATAGCTTAAAAGTGCCGTGCGCATTTTACTTTCACTTTCGAATTAGCGGCAGGTCGGCGTCAATTGCTTGAATGCAACAACAAAATACAACGTCAAACTCACTTTAGCCTATATATAAAACATAGACCTTTTATTAACAGAACAAATACAATTACCCCATGCTATAGGGCAGGCTATGCCTAATATAAAATAACAAACAACTTGCATAAAGTTTAAATATGTATACAAAACTGGAAATAGGCTAAGTAAACATGTATAATATATAACCAAAAAATATAAGAAACGTATAATGTTTATTAGCAAAACGAGTAAGAAAGCACCTTGATGTCAAATAAAATAAATAAATAAATGACACAAAGTTTAAAAAGTAAAAATCATCAAACAATGTGGAACCAATTAAATAAGAAACTAATGTTTAAAAAAACTTCCAAAATCTCCTTAGATAAACGGCAAAAGTCAACAGGCTTTTCAAAATCCAAAATATTGCCAAACAGGCGCTTTTGCATCTCGTTTCGAAACTAAATCATCCGCGATCGTCTTGTCTGTCTCACTCTCGTGATAGACTCACTCTCCTCACTGGAGAAATGAAATCTGATCTGTGATGCGACTGTCGTCCGGCACGCTGCATTGAGCAGCCGCGTTCAGTTTTTAATTGTAAGTCTGTTCTTTTACTGAACTAAATGATTTTTATTACTATAAAAAACCAAAACGACGGTGGGGGTCGGTGCCGCGGTGGGCAGGTGACGTAACCGGTGTTGCGGCTTAACAACGGTATCACCGTCAGCACCGTCTATCGCGGCAAGCCTAATGAACATGCATTTAAAATCGCACCTCTTAATGACCTCTTAGTTACCAAAAATGAATTCAAGTAATCATATGAACCAGCTTACGGAGATTGGCAGTCAGTGTTCTGTCTGGGCAAAGACATGGCTTTGTGTTTACAAAAAGATGAAGCGTGTCATTTCTGCACCACTAGCAAATGCTTGCTTTTGCAAATGCGACAAACAAATGATTTAACAAGTCAAATGACACGGTTCACCTTTAAGAATGAGGGTGGACTCATGAGAAAATGGATGTGTGGGTTTCTTCACTGCAGCATAAAAGCAGAGTGGGGGAAGATATTCGGCCTATCACAGCCAGGCATCTCTTCAAGCAAGGCTAAGATGCTATATGATGCTAATAGAAAAAAACATGTTTATTTGAGGCCAGATACATGGGGCTTTAATTCAAACCACTGTGGGAACACTTCTGCTATGCCAACAACTCTGAAATGGATTAATATTATTTACAATACATGACTTATTTCACTAAAAAAGCCTGTGTGTATTCATAATACTTCTTAAGTAGAAACATTTCTATATTGGAAATAAATGACTGGCCATTGAGAGAGCAACATTGAGAGTCATTGCACCCATATGTTATACAGCAATGACATAGTTTGTCTTATTAATGTTTACACATTAGTATACAGCATGTAAAGCCATATCATTCTGATGAACAGAATCATCTGAATTATGCAGAAATGAACTAGACACTGACCTCATGAACGAAGTACACTTTGGCTCCAACATATATTCCCATTCGGACCACAGCCCGAACAGCAGCATTCATTCCTGCATGCAGAGGAACAACAGACAGATCACGTTAGAAGGATATCTGTAGAAAAATACTGGGAAAACAGGTTAGAGCTGGCTGTTTGTTTGTATTTGCACTTGATCATGTAATTTGAGGATCACTGGAATGCAACTGTGCAGCATATTATAAAAACTTGCAGGCCTCTCTGAGGGCCTTTCCTGCCATATTTGGGCAATTGTTGCTAGCCTCCTCCTATAAAATTGGTTAAATCTGGTTTAATACAATTTGCTATATTTGCTCACTGAAAGCAGCACTGCTGTTACTAGGCAACACAGGAAAGGAATGGGAAAAAATCTGAATCAGCAGAACGGCTCAGTTCATTTAAGGCTCAGCTCAATTTTGGTTCCTCCCAAGGTTTTTTCTCCATTCTGTCATCGATGGAGTTTTGGTTCCTTGACGCTGTCGCCTCTGGCTTGCTTAGTTGGGGACACTTAATTTCCAGCGATATCGTCGACTTGATTGCACAGATACTATTTAAACTGAACTAAGCTGGATGATGACACCACTGAATTCAGTGATGAACTGCCTTTAACTGAAAATTTTTACTATTGAAAAAAAAAAGTTTACTATTGTCACTTGCATAATTGGCACACTGTTTTCCTAATTAATGCTGTACAGTTGCTTTGACACAATCTGTATTGTTAAAAGCGCTATACAAATAAAGGTGACTTGACTTGACTTAAGGAAAAATATTGCAGATGATTACATTTCACCTGTGTTGACGGGATGGGTTACACAAAAATGAAAAGTAATTCCTAATTTACTCGACTGTAAACTTTGTAAACTGACTTTTCTTCTGCAGAATACAAAAAAGGGTTCTTTTCCATTTGATTTCAACTACAAAAGCACCATAAAAGTAGTTTATACAACGTGTGCATAGCTATATTCCTAGTCCTTTGAAATCAAATACAGTGTGGGGGAGTAACTAGTTACATCATGTAACGGAATTACGTAATTTATTTACAAAAGTAACACTTTATTTTAAGGTGACCTTGTTACACATGTTACATGTACTTACTATAACCCTAACCATAGAGTAAGTACATGTAGTTAATTAATATTACTCCGTATTAAATGTATAATTACACTGTAACAAGGACACCTTAAAATAAAGTGTAACCCAAAATAAATGTAACTGTAATCTGTTACAGTTACTGAGCAAAAAAACATTTTTTTTTATTAAATTACAGTTATGAAAATGTTAATGATTACAAAGTGGGCTCCGTCTGAATATTTTCACACACATACAGATATGATGGATTTCTTTCCCAAATTGCATTGACTGCTCTAAAATACGAGACAGCAATGTTTCAGGAGTTTAGGACACATGCTTATTCAATAACTGGTTTATTTCCAATTTGGGTTCATGTATATGCTTTATTTTTAAGATTAACTGTTTTTTTCCAAGGCAGTGCTTTCTGTCGTAGCTATGCAAAGATTTGATTTCAAAAACAGTGCCATAGCTAATAAATGGTTTCTTGTTATGATTTTAAATCTGTACTTTTAACTCAGATCGATCTCAAAGTCAAAAGAGGAGCTAAAGTCTGATTTTGTGGTGGCTGTGCTTTAAAATTAAATTATTATAATCCTAATTCAAGTAAAGAAGGATTTTGGAAGTCTGACAGTACTCTAAATGTTTGAAAATGATTAACAGTTGAAAACATTCACTAGAAATCAGTTACGATACTAATAAAGTAATGAAAATCGTTACACTACTTGCCAACACTGGTCATATATAGCTTTATGTGACTAACAACAGTGCCTGTTGGTTTCTAGATGGTTGCAAATCAACACCCGAGTCAACAGTCTCTCTGGGCCTGTAGATGCAGTATTGATTGGGTTTCTCCTAGTATTTTTTAGCTCCTTAGCTTTTTTAGAAAAAAGCCCTAGGCGTTTCCCCCCCCACCTGTTCGCCAGGCGAAATGTTACGCCTGATGTCAGATGTGTCAAGGTGAGAGATCTGCCCTACAGGCTCTAAACAATGCAATGTCACCGTGAGCTCAAGCTTTTGAGTCTGCCACTGTCGATTGATTTATCTAAATAGACAAAGAATTATGCAGCCCTGCTATTTATGTCCTGCAGCTGCTTTAAAGATCTAAAGTGTTAATTGAGTGACTTCATCTATAACAAGTACCGTGTTTAGGATACGTGCAGATATACATTAAGCCACTGGAATGACTAATATTGCATGTAAGTTACATCAGATCAGAGTCATTACAGAAATAACACATTCCATCTGGTGACTCATTAACTACTATGAAATTTAATGTGAATTTTTCACACAGTAACCTTCACTGCAGTCCAAAACAAGAACATTTGCATTTCTCATAGGAGCTGCAGTGAAGTAGTACACTGTAGCATACAAAAGAGTAGCCTAATACTTTACTTTAAAGGTAATTATTTAAAGCAACACCTTTGATTGGACGAGCAATTTTTTAGTGTATAGTCATGAAAGTGAACTACATTTAAGTACACTTAAGTGGCTTTTTATGTAATTAATATTAGCCTATATGCAAGAACAGTTAGGCAACTTAAAATATACTTTTAAGATTTGAAGTACACTACAAATCCACATTCAAGCACACTTATTTTCTCACAAGAGGTGCCTGAATGGTCTCATAAACTAGATTAGTATTTTCCTTAAAGGGGTCATATGATGCGATTTCTAAACACATTTCATTACACCAAATACACAAAACAATGTTCTTTTTAGCAACATCATATGACCCCTTTAAGGAACTACTAGTCTTTGAAATTAAGGTACAAGTGTGTCTGTGCACATCTAAACTATCTGATTGTATTCAAGACAATATTGTTTAATACGACTAAATCTACCTGACTAGATTCACAAAAGGTGTGTTTTATTTAAAACGTGACTATTGGTTTAAAGCCGTGCGCGTTGGTCACATGACTCGTTTTGCTGTAACTCTTGGTCGCACTCGCGCAGCGGCTCCTCACGTACGCATACTTCAGACTTAAAATCACCTAAATTCACCTCTTCTTTGCAAAACACATCACTTAATGGAGAACCAGTCATGAGCTTCAAAACACGAACACGAGAAAGCCACTGTGAAAAGCGCAGCGACTTCCTGGTTGATGAAAATCATCGTTTCGTTGACTGACGGACAGAAAAGCGCTGATATGAGGTAAAGTAACACACAGATGACGGTTAATGTTAAGCAAACATAAGAAAGATTCATAATCTTTAAGGCAGTGAAGACACGCTACGTGTGTGCTGTTGGTGAAGCAATGCAGTGACATGTATTGATTAAATGACATTCATTCACCTAAACACCAACGCGACAGATACATAAAGGAAAGCTGTCGGCTATCTGGAAACATTATGATAGAAATGAAAGCTTCTGTCATCTGAGCTCACATGTATTTACTGAGAGCTGCCTCATCCTTCAACCTCCTCACCATCACCTCAACCTGCCTTTCTACCAATATTAACCAGTCTAAACAGCAAGCAGTCGTGACACTAACATGTTAACACTGGTCCTAAACGTCAACCATGGATCGCTCAAACATATCACATTGCAAAATCGGTGACTTTGTCATCATCTCATGGTTACATTTGCATCGCTTCGGACCTTCAAGTGCCATTGCATCCATCCTGACGAGAAGCAAACCCAAGTAGGAGATTCTAACAACCTTGCATTTATACAATGCAACTGTATTGCAACAATGTAACGCTGGTAATACAATGTAACAGAATGCACATCGCATGTCAAAGTGAAACTATGTAGAGCTCATTCTGAACACGGGGATCCAATATAACACTGATAATAAGGATTTAAAGGTATAAGACATGTGAACCGAATGACCATGAGCTGTCAGAATGGTAACAGTGTAACGTTACCTTGCGCATCTCCTCCGCTCGTGAGCACTGCTATGGCTTTCCCAGCGCCCGTCAGGTTCTCAAAGAACTTCTTGTTGTCTGTCTGAGCCATTACAGTAGGTTAAAATATAATAATGAATAAATAAAACTCTGTATGAAACGGTGCCGGTTCGGGGACTCTGTCCTCCCCTCTCCTCTCCAGCGGTCTCCTCTTGCACGTCCTTTGCTGTCCCTCCTGAACCTGCAGCAATGATATTTGTGACTGACAGCTCTCTCAGCCAATGGCTGGTCAGATCCCGCGTTCCTGTCGGAATTTTAACCAATAGTAAACGCTGTCGGCGGCGTTTCCGCGTAGGAAGGTGATGTAGGCGGGACAGTAATTTGACAAATATGGTCCGGCTATATTTATGGAAACTGAGAGATGCTGTCAAAGAGCCACTTCGAAATTAAATTTACAGTAAGTTTATTTCTGTCATCTGTAAATTTGTATACTTATAATTGCGTTCACCTTACAAGTAAATTAGTACTTAAAGTTAACTTTGACGTTTTTAAAGTAGTGTTATATATATA